GTTCGAGACCAGCCTGGGTAGCTTGGCGAGACCTCATCTCTACAATAAATAAATAAATAAATAATTAGTCAGGCATGATAGCGCGCACCTGTAGTCCTGGCTACTTGGAAGGCTGAGGCGAAAGGATTGCTGGAGCCCAGTAGGCTGAAGCCGGGGTTAGACGTGAGTGTGCCACTACACTCCAGCCTGGGTGACAGAGTGAGACTCCAACTCAAAAAAAAGTAAAAAAGTGATAAAATCTAACAAAAAAGACAAAGCACAGACCACCAATATTAGGAACAAATGGGACATTTAAAAGATACAGGATCCTTCAGACATTAAAATATATAATGTATATATAAATATAATATAATATAACAAGAGTATATTAAACTAAGCCAGGCACAGTGGCTCGTGCCTGTAATGCCAGTACTTTGAGGTGAGAGGATTGTCTGAGCTCAGGGGTTTGAGATCACCCTGGCCAGCTTGGCGAGACCTTATCTCTACAATGAATTTAAAAAATAGTAGGGTGAGCCGGGCTCGGTAGCTCAGCCTGTAATCCCATGCCTTGGGAGGCTGAGGTGAGTGGATTGCTTGAGCCTGCGACTTCGAGACCCGCCTGGGCAACTTCGCGAGACCTCATCTCTACAATAAATCAAAAAATTAGCTGGGCGTGGTAGCGCGCGCCTGTAGTTCCAACTACTTGGAAGGCTGAGGTGGAAGGATCGCCGGAGCCCAGCAGGTCGAGGCAACTCAAAAAAAAAAAAAAATAGTAAGGTGTGGTAGCGCACATCTGTGGTTCCAGTCACTTGAGCAGGTGAGGCTGTGGTAGCTGTGAGTGTTCCACTGCATTCTAACCTGGGCAATAGAGTGAGATACCAACAACAACAACAACAACAATAATAATAATATATTAAAACTAGCTTTATGCCAATAATTTTGATAATTTCAACAAAAATTCCTAGAGAAACAAAACTACAGAAACTGACAAGAAATATAAAAAACTAAATAGTTCTGTATCTGTTAAAGAAACTGAATCCATAATTAAAGACAATCTCACAAAAAAATCTATAGGCTTAGATGGGTTTACCCAGGAATTATTCAAACATTTAAAAATAATATAGCTAATATTACACAAACTCTTCTAGAAAATGAAAATGAAGAACATTTCGCAAATCATTTCATGAGAATAGCATAAGTTTGATACCAAAACTTGACAAGACATTACAAGAAAAGTAAATTCCAGGCCACTATCTCCTGTGAACATAAACATTCTAAATTGAACATTAAACCAATTCTAGCAATATATTAAAGGATTATATAATTAATAAAATTGGGTTTATTTCTCATGAAATATAACTTAACAAGAAAATTAATGTAATCTGCCACATTAGCAGATTATAGATGAAAAATCATATAATCATCTCAAAAATGCAGAAAACGTATTTGATAAAATTTAATACTCATGCATAATTTTTAAAAATATCTTTGGATGTTAGAAACAGAAGGGAAACTCTTTTATCTGAGAAAATGTATCTATAAAAAGCTTACAACAAACATCATAATTAACGGTAAAATGCTCGATGCTTTCTTACCTCTAAGATCAGGAAGAAATAAAATTGCTCACCAAATTAGTACTAAAGTTTCTGACTATTGCAATAAGACAAAAAAGAAAGTGCAATTGACCCTTGAACAACACAGAGGTTAGGGACGCTGACCCTCCCACACATAAATTGGATAAAAACATAACTACTAATAGCCCACTGTTGACCTTGCTGATAACATAAACAGTTGACTAACATATTTTATATATGTATTATATACTGTATTCTTTATAATAAAGTAAGCTAGAGAAAAGATGATGTTATTGAGAAAATCATAAGAAAGAGACATCGAATAGGCTGAGGTGGAGGAAGAAGAGGAGAGGTTAGTCTTGCTGTCTCAGGAGGGGCAGAGGCTGAAGAGGTGGAAGGGAAGGCAGGAGGAACAGGCATACGTGGTGTAGCTTTATGGAATTATATAATTTATGTTGTAAAATAAGTCAAAAGCAGTCTTGAATAACTGCAACACATTCTGCCAGATTGTCTGATGTTAATTTGTTTTCCGGAACTACTACTTCTACATCTTCTTCATTGGGCAGTTTTGGAAGCAGTCATCTCCTCCGTGTCTTCTGTTAATTCCTCTGGTGTAGTGTCGATTAGCTCTTGGATTTCTCCAAGATTCGTATCTTGAAACCTTTCACTCCTCACAACCTCTTTCACGATTTCCTTGATTGGCTCTGCTGTAAAATCCTGTGAAGTCACACACAACATCTGGACACAATTTTCTCCATCAAGAATTTATTATTTAGGGTGTGATAGCTGCAGCTTATGACTTAACAAGTTTTGTTTCTCTTTTTCTATGACCCTTATGTAGAATTCATCTATCTTGAAATGGCAGGCAAGCACAGCTGCAGAACTCAACCTACAGCACATATCAAGCAATCCAACTTTTTCCTGTAATGCCATGACTTTTCTCTGCCTCTTAGAAGTACTTTCAGCACCACTAGTGGCATGTCATATAGGTCCCATTGTTTTATTCAAGGTATACAGCATTGCACTAAACACAATGAAAAATACGGGGAACTGCAGGAGACCACTTTTACTGAGATACTGGAGAGAAAAATTGCTCACTTGGAGATTAGCGTTACATGACATTTTAAGCCAATACTTGCAACACTTCAGTTCACCACAATAACAACGTGAGATGACTACAAAATAATTACAGCAGTACAATGTATTAACTGTAAAATTACTACAGTTAATTTTATACAGTTATAATTTAATACTGCATCTTTACATTTGTTTACATTTCTCTGAACTGCAAATGGTATCATGTATAAACTGCATATAAGTTTTGATAAATTTTTTAATAAAAGACCTGTGTATATTTTATGGTAGTAAATTATAAAACAGACTACTATCTAAATATATTTTATGCATTCACGATATACCTAACTTTTTCTTCATTTTCCAAAAATATTTCTAGGCTACACAGTTCACCTGTGAGTTTTTCAAATTTTTGCAAATCTCCAAAAAATTATACAAAGTATTTATTTTTAAAAAGTATAAGTGGATCCATACAGTTCAAGCCCATGTTGTTCAAGAGTCAATTATATATAGATTGCTAAGGAAAAAAATAAAACCTGCTAGATAGAAAGTCAGTTATTAAAATCAATTGTATTTCTATATACAAGCAATTCATTTTAAAAATGACATTACCATAACATCAAAAACATCAAGCACTTAGCAATAAATCTAACAAAAGATGTATAACTCCTACATACAAAAAAATTTCAAAACATTATTGAGAAAATTTGAATATCTAAATGGACAAATAATACATCATATTCATAGGTGGAAAGAATCTATGCTGTAGACACTGGTCAACTGTACCCAAATTGATGTATAAATGTAATGTAATTCCAATCAAAATCCCAGGTATGCTTTTGTATGGGTGTATAATTTAACAAGTTGGTTCTAAAATTTATATGGAAATGCAAAGGTTAAAGAATAGTCAAGTCAATTTTGTAGAAAAACAACATCGGGGGACAGAAGCTATCAGATATCAACACTTATTACAAAGCTACAGTCGTGATATTGGCTGAAAGATAAATAATAGGTGAATGAAATAGAACAGTGAGTCCAGAAACAGACGCTCTATGTACTCCTATCTTTACACCAAAGAAGACACTAATGGTGGTGAAGAAAAGATGGCTTTTTTCAATAAACAGCACTGAGTATATTAGCTATCCATTTGGAAAATAATTATGTTGACCTCTTCCTCAAAATATATATGTAAAAAAATAGTGAAACAATAATGTTTCTTGGAAAAAAGCAGGAATAATTTATTAAGATACACAAAGATTTCTTAACCAGAACATAGAACACACTTAACACAAAGGGAAAATTTACAGTACAGACTTCAGTACATTAAAATTAGAAAATGTTTGACACAGTCAATCTGTGGCACCTTATTTGGGAACTTATTAATGTATATAGTCTGATAATTCACTTAATCATACTTATTTAACAGTCAAAGAACAGCTTTTGCAAAAAAATAATTTCATGATTTATGAAATTAAATCCATAAAACTTATAATGAGAGATTCAAATAATGATTTTTTAATAACTACCAAAAACTCAACAAAGGAGTAAATAAAATTTGAATTTAATACGTAAAGTTGTAATGTCTTCACTCATTTTTAAAAATGCAGTTTTATTTCTTATCCTAAATCCTACTAACAGCACTCAGTTATCACAAGAGATTAAAAATAGTTGCTAGGTGCCCTGTTAAGTAAACAGAAACAAAGCCAACCTAAATAAAAGTAAAAACCCAGATATGGTCTCTATAGCTAGCAAAAAAAAAAAAAAGCCACCTGCTGCAACAAAATAACCAAAATGCCTGTTATTCTACTGTTTACATAAACAGAACTCAGTTTGCTCAGCACGATTATAGCTACAATAGGAGTGACCTGACTCTAAGTAGGGGAAAACAGCTACACATCATTTTATTTACTCAAAGTCTCCTCAGATCAGAGAAACAAGGGAATGAAATACAATAAAGATAGCATTAGCTTTCCAGAGGGCACAAATTTTCAAAAACCAGGGAGGATGACACATTACATACCCAAGTGTTTTTAAATTTCAATTTATATATTTCATGTCTGGAATCAAAAATTGTATACATGCAAAAAAGTTATTTCCAATAAAGGACTGACTTTTAAGATATAAGCTGATTGTTACTATAATCTTATGTATTCTGTCTAAGGCACAATACAGACTCATAACAGAAGGAAACTGAGTATCTTTAGTTATACATTCTTTCAAGGTCCATAATCTTCACATTTCTACAGATTAATAGAAATTGCATAAAAGGGTTAACACAGTCCAACTTTAACTCTCTGCTCATGCCAAACATCATTAAGGCAACACACATTTATCTTTTACTATGTGAAGGACACTGTATTCTTAACACTTTACCTTTGCAGCAAACTGTAGTCCAATTTTGTCAGCCTCAGCCTCCAATGTCCTACTGTATGGTCTATTAAACATATACTAAGAAGAAATAGAATAGAAAAGCTTCATTAAGGCAATTTATTTCATGACAAAAGGAGTAGCAAAAAATCACTTTTTTTAAAGTGATTTCATAGAGTATCTAGGATAAAATTCCTGTGTTCTCCCTATTAACATTAAAAGAACTCTGGTGGTATAAAACATAAATACAGCCTTTATTTCCTCCATTAGAAATTGATACTTTAAAAACATGGAAAGAATAAAAAAAAAAGTCACACCTACAAATTTCCAGACAGTCTGTAATATCATAAATTGCTTACTTCTATTTTTCCAATTATAATCCCCACCTACTGAGTAGAGGATTGCCAAAGAAAGCTTATTATTGCAGGCTTTTAATATGGTCAAGGAAGATTTTGACCTTGCAGTTTTAAAAGAAAATTGAGAAAACATAGGTATATAACAGCCAATGACACTACTAGAGGATTTATTTCAGTAAGAAAATTAACCATATAGCAGAACATTCTTTCTTGGATAAATTATCTTAATTTCCTTTTTCTTTTCTAAGTATTAACTAGTTGGGAAAATGAAATTTTCTTCTGACTTCATTAAAAAAAATACAAATAGATAGCGTAACTTTAATTTTCCTAATTACTTACATTTATGTGAATGCTATCCAGTTAAATTCTAATTTTCAGTAAGTACTAAAACTTTGTAGGAGATGGATCAATAGGCAGGACTTTTGAGAAAAGAGCCATTAATTGGGGAAGCAATCTTTCACAGGTAGCTGCATGGCTATGATGGCTAGAAATAGTGTAATCAATCTGATCCACAGTATGTGACCAGCAGATATGACTTTCTTTCTCCTCAACCACATCTGTTTTAGGTTAATGAATTATGTCATACAGTATCTTCACTCTCCATGAGCAGGTTACATGTTTCCATCAAGTTTAATGATAGAGTACTAATAAAAAATTTGGCTTTAAAAGGAAAGAAACTTAAGTTCAAGTCCAAATACTGACTTACGAGCTGTTAACTTTGGGCTAATTGTTTAACCCCTAAAAGCCCAGTAGCATCATATATAAAATGGAACTAGTAATAGTGTCAACTGCCTAGAGATGCAGAGAGGATTCAATGAACAAATAAAAATAATGGCTCATATTTATTGAGTTCTTACTCTGTGCCAGGTACTGTACTAAATGCTTTAAATCAATGATTCTCACCTGGTGTGATTTTTGTCCCTTGGGAACATTTATAAATATTTGGGGATATTTTTTATTATCACAACTAGGGGAAAAGAGAGCTACTGGCATCTAGGGGACAGAGGCCAGACTTGCTACTAAATATCCTGCAAGACACAGGACAATTCCCCACAAGAAAGAATTATCAAGTCCAAAATGCCAGTAGTGCTGAGATTGAGAAATCCTGCCTTAAATTATCATTCAGTCCTCACAACAAATGAAGGAATGGTAAATGAACCTCAGTAATTTCCATTCCCTAATGACTTTGCTATCAACATTCCCCTTTGCTCTCCAATCACAGCGAGCAGGGCTTTCTGGAGAAAAACATCTCTTTGTCACCAAACTTCTAAGAGGCCTTGATCTAGGGAAAAAGAATTCAAACAGAAGCCATCCCCACTTTATTTTTAGTTTAATTATTACATTCAAGAACTACACTGATGTGGTAGGATTTAATCAAGTATTTCAAGGGAGAAACAGCTACAAAGTTATTTTTCTTATGACCAAATCTACTAACACCAATACAGAAAAAGCAATCTACAGATAGATGGGGAAAATAACTACATTAACTCCTTAACTTCCCAGCAGGTCACTTACAGAAACAAAATATGAGGTCCCATAACCTAAGCAGTAACCATTCTTTTGCTTTCTCTTTAAGAACCTTTATTTCAATATAAATGAAGCCAAATGATATGGTAATGCTGAATAACAGACTTAGTTACACAATCTCAAAAGTAATTTGTCTCAAAGAATTTTGCACATTATATTTAAACAGTACCCAGATGGCACTCTGATGGGTGTTCCACAAGTTATTAAATAAACAAATAACAGATTGTTCCTAAACAACCAAACTTCCAAGGACAAGACGAAATATTTGAAGAAAGATGTAAAATAAAATAATTAATCACAGCTACAAAGCAGTTAATGAAGACTGCAAGACCTACTTTCAGTAGTGCAGTGTTCTGAACAAAATGAGGGACTCCATAAATATTTGAGATGATTATTATATATAAGCACTGAAACCAAAAGCTAACAAACACCTAGTAAGACTGTCCTTCACTGTTCTCCAAGCAACGTTAGTTTAACTGGGAGTGAGGACAAAGGGAGGGTGGTGAAGCAGCTTCAGCCAACCCCGTGTCCATTAAATTTTAGAAGTTGCAGCAGTGCCCCATCAAAATGCAAAAGCTGTAGGCCCTCTGTGTCTGTAGATCTGCAACTGACCTTGGATCAAAAATATATGGAAAAGAGCAATAAAAAAGTAACAATGCAACAACTTTAAAAAACAATACAGCATAACAACGTTTTATATAGGATTTACATTGTACTAGGTATTGTAAGTAATTGTAAGTAACAGACATGATTTAAAGTATATAGGAGGATGTGCATAGGTTATATACAAACATCATGTCATTTTTAATTCAGGGACTTGAGCATACTCAGATTTTGGTATCCACGGAGATCCTGAAACCAATGCTCCACACATACTGAGGGACAACTATATTTGGGGACAGGCAGAATCATTCTGTTAGTACATTATAGTCAGAACAAAAGAAAAGGTCAGTGACTGGGTTTTCTCTCTGTAAAACCAATAACTATATTTTAAAAATTGTATCAGCCAAAAGTTGCCAAGCCCTTCTAATCAACCCATATCTATCCTTTGAGAAATGCAGTATTCTTTAATTTAAATATTCATTATGTAAGAATATCCCCTAAAAATGAGAAAGTGTAACACACTAAAAATTACTTAAAATTACCCATATTTCACAGCAAAATGTGAAAACATCTCTGGTATTTGTTGCTTTACAGCTATATTAAAATATCCTCAAGTTATTGTCTCAGACTTACCTCCTGCAATTTAGACTGTATCCACTGGCCCAAAAGTGCCAAACTATCTCGAGGACAAATGGCCCAAACCATTATGAGAAAAATCATTCCCAGGAAATCCAATAAATGAACCATGCTAGCCTTTTCTGCCTGAGAATAATCAAAACAATAAAAATTACATTTAATATATTGAGACCGTATATGCTTACGTTTTCTAATTCAGCATATGTTATAATGCCATGTGTTCAACTGACCTTCATGACCTAAGATCGAAAGTTCTCTTCTTTTTTTGATTATCCTTTACTGGTCCGTTTTTTCCTTCCCTTGTTTACCCACTTATATATCTATTCATTCATTCAACTAACATTTACTGAGCCACTTACTATTAGTCTGATGATATTAACCTACAGTTTCTTGTGAAATAGGTACATTTATTCTTATTTTATAGATAAGGAAACTGAGATAGAGAATGGCTAAAAGAGTTGCCTACATTCACACAGCTATAGGTAAAAGTGCCAGGAATTAAATCTGGGCAGTTTTAATTTCTAATATCATGACTATATGATTTAAAAAATCATTTAAAAAATCAAATAAACTTACTTTACTTATATTTTTGGATAAAAACTAAACACTACCTAACATAAGAAGCAGCTAAAACAAGAGAAAATTCAGAAAAAGACCAGAAGATTATTTTAAATGAAAGTCTTTTGGTCTTCAAGACCCAGCATATAAAACATGATTCATTTATACAAGTCTGGTATTTCTCACCAGGGACTCGGGTTCCATAAGTTTTTGTTATTTGCTTATAACAGGATCCAAATAAGGTTTTACATGAAACAGTTGTCTTGAGTAGCAATATCTAAATATAAGTTTAACATACTGGACTATTCATTATTTGCCACCAAAGTTGATTAAGAAATGTTAATATAAAGCTGACACCGACAAAATAGCAGTCATTACTTGAATGTACAGAAAACTAAAAACAATGACCAACAATATGTCCCTTAATGGTATAATCAGCCCTCACAAAGCATACTTTGCTTCATTATAAAAACTGTGTTGTGAAAAACAATTATGGAATTATTTTACCACAAAAGAGTAAAACTCAAAATGATGACATCATTATAGAAGAGAAAGTCCTTGCTATTATTAATTATTAAAGAACATGACTGCTACTATTCAGTCTTAGAAAACTAGAAATAAACAAAAGATAGATCAAGTCAAAATTAAGATCGAATCAAAAAAGAAAATATTGTTAATAACATTTAAGAACTCTGCCAAAAAAATTAATAACTATTTTCTATTTTTAAGGCTGCCACTTGTATTCTACATATCATCTAATTTTGTTCTTACATGACAGAAATGACAACAAAACACTGCATATGAGGCACCGAACCAGATACCAAAAAAACAAATGTACTGAATAGTAACACCTTTTAAATGCTAAAATGACCAAAATGAATTGATTTTGTAATTATGAAGTCATTATTTGAAAAATATTAGAGTGCATATAATAACACTATTTCCATGTTAGGCTCATTCTTGTATCTATTTGTTTAAGAAAAATATTTTTTAAACTTTCTTGTAACTCAGAAGAAATAAAGGATATAACTACTCTGTGTTTCAGAAAACACAACTTTGGCCCACCTCATCTTATCAATACTCTAAGGAATAGGCAGAATTTGAGATGATTCTTGAAGAATTAGAAATGTTATCATTTCCATTTGAAGTTAATATTACTTTCATTTCCAACTTAGCATTTCATAGTCTTTTCACTATTTCTTGTTTTCAATTAAAGAAAATATACTTCTCTCTAATTATGCAGATGAGTCATTCATATTTTTTAATGAATAGCAATAAACAATGTATAGAACAAATGTGTTGTTTTCCTGGACTCATATCACATCAAATAGATGAGCAATCACAGGAGCACAAATCAACTTGAGTTCCATAATCTAAGAAAAGTGCTGTTAACAACCAGATAACTATGGCCAAAAGAAGAAATGCTGGACTTGCATATAGAAGACCTGAATTAAAGTCCTTATTCTGCCTTGCTGTCAGGTTCATCATGTTAAACAAAATTTCCAAACATTAGTTTCTTCATATATAAAGCAGGAATAACAAATACATATCCGTGAGGTATTAAAATTATGAATGAGAAGGTACATATTAAAACGTTCAGTAAACTGTAAAATGGCTAGGTATCATTATTACTCTGCATTAATTATACATGGCATATCATTCTAGACAATTTCAAAGAAGCTCCAAGCTATCCTCTGAGAATGAATAAAAAGAAAGAAAACTGATTTACCCACCTAAATAGTAATATCACTTTCCTACAATTAATTTTCTGACTAGATTGCAAGTATGTTAATAATTATGAGAAGTTTAAAATTTAATTTGAAATAATTAGAGGTTGAGATAATTACTTTTTAGTAAAAGAGACAAGTGATAAAAATAGTATTTAATAGAAACACTAATTATTCAGAATGAAATACTAAAGATCATAAAAATTCTCAAAATTAGTCAATTGCATTTTTTCAGGTAACAGATAAGGCAATTACTAAAAACCAAAACTCCGTCATTAAAATAAAAGAAAGAAAAGTAAAAAGATTCAGTTCTTTAAAAGACTTGTTAACTTCAAAGCAATATTTCAAAGCTGAATATTCATTTTAGGTACTTACAGCGTGCCCAAGTACTGCATGTGCTAGTTCATGGCCCAGAAGGAAGGAAAGTTGATGAACATCAGTGACACTATTTAAAAGCCCAGTGAAAATAAACATTTGACCATTCTGCACCATAAAGAAAATAATGGAAGCAATTAGATCACCATAAAAAAAAAAAAGGACAATAAATTTAACAATAAAAATGTGCTTGAGAACATTTACTTACTGGAAGCACAAAGGCATTTATATCTGGAGAATCAACTACATGAATAGTCCAATTGATCTCAGAGATCCCTGGGATATCTTTATTGCATTCAATTAGATGATAAACCACTTCTTTAACAGTCAGGTATCGGGCATCTTTCTCCGTTAGCACATCATTTTTAAATTCTTCCATGCACTGAGAGATTAAAAATTATTCCTTATATTAAAAGTTTTAGTGCTACAAATGTTTATACTGCTTCATGGAGCATTATATGGCTACTTATTTTTAAACATTTTAAGTTTTAATTATATAAAAATCTGTATATATTAAACACTCAAGTTTCTCAAATTTGAATTACTCATGCAAAGGTAATGTAGTTTCTCAACAAGGAATAAATTCTAATACTAAGATTTTTTATGGATTGAGTGAATTGAAATCAAAATTTCATTCTCTTAATCTACACACAAATAAAAACTTAAGTATTATTTCTACTTTCCTAAGCATTTTAGAAAACAGAAAAGACATTTCATTAATTTTAAAGTGTTATATTCACACATATTAAAATGAAATTACTGAAATCTCAGAACTAATGAGCACTGTCTCTACATGATGCTGATTAAGATTAGCCACCATATGAAGACACGTTTTGGAGTTATATTCATGAGAGCTCTTTCAAGTGTACTGAGGAAATTAAGAATGTTCTGAAATATTACTTTAACTTCCATACAATGTGTAATTTCTTTCATATAAGAACCAAAAAGTTGGTAATCTTCCTTGAGATGCACTATAAATATATACTTTTGGAGAATATGCATTTAAAATAGTCTTTATATCAATTAGCACTTTTAAAAAGCATAACTTGCCAATATAAACTTTGTGAAACAAACAAACAAAACCCTACTAACTGTTCTGAAGTACATAAACAAGATTATATGTATTTATAGCACTTTAAAATATCCCTATAAAAACATGTGTTAGGCTGGGCTCGGTGGCTCAGCCTGTAACCCCAGCACTCTGGGAGGCCAAGGTGAGTGGACTGACTGAGCCCGCGGGTTCAAGACCAGCCCCGGCAACTTGGCGAAACCTCAAAAATTAGCTGGGCGTGGTAATGCAAGCCTATAGTTCTGGCTACTTGAAAGGCAGAGGCAGAAGGATCGCTGGAGCTCAGCAGGTCGAGACTGGGGTGGCCATGAGTGTGCCACTGCACTCCCGCCTGGGCGATAGAGTAAGACTCAAACTCAAAGAACATGTGTTTAAATTTCCCTATCACATAGGTATTACATTTTTAGCTTAAATAAGAAAAAAAGAAGTGTGTCTATGTCTATACCTGTATGTATATACACATAGATACATAAAATTTTTAAAAATTTCTTAGCAATATAATTGGTAGAAGATGGACTGATTTAATACTAGGCCTCTCTCAATCTTTCTAGAACACTTTCCTCAAACATGCCTCTTACTAATTCCTAAGAAATAGCTCAATCTCTGTATATGCTCTACTATAAGAGTTCAGTCTTATCTTGATTAAGAACAAGTTTTATAGTGAAAAAAAATCACTGTTATTTCTTAATAACTTTCCATTAACAAATTCAGAAGTGCATTCGAAACAATAAGATAAAAAGCTCTAACTACGTCCTAGCTGTCAAGTGAGGTTATGAGATGTCACTTCAACAAACACTAATTAAGCCACAGAGTACATAAGGATCTCTGTCCCTAAGGAACTCACTAGGGTACAAAACGTTTAACTACCTGAGCTACTATATTTTCCAAGGAGTCAAGACTTCTGAATGCCAACTTTATTTTGGATTCAAATACAATAAATTGCCAAAAATTGATGTTTGAGGGGGAAAAAAAAACTATCTTATTCTACTTGATATTCAAAATATAAAAATTCTGACAATAGATCTATTTATTTAATAAGTACATACTAAGCACTGCTTTACACATTTTGCTAGTACTTAAGATGAAACCATAAACAAAACAGACAAGATCCCTGCCCCATGAAGCTTAATCTAACAAGGAAGACAGATCAGGAAACAAATAATTATGCAAATATTTATGCTACCCTCCTGTAAATGCTGTGAAGGAAAAGTACAGTGTGCAAAGGGAGAGAAGCCTAGGAGACCTAACCCCAGTCTAGCCAAGCGCTGGGCACAAGTACAAATGAGCTGGTTCATAATTCAGTCTGTATGAAGGCTACTCCGAGGGCCTGATCTAGTCACCCTGCCTAGCCCAGTCTGGATAATCAAGGAAGGCTTTCCTGAGAAAGTGACATTTAAGGTGACATGTGATGAGCAGGAGTTAGCTGGGTGAATAGGAGGAAAAACAATGTAGGCGGTAGGAATACCAAGTGTGAAAGGTCTGAGGCCTTCTGGGAAAAAAATGCTAATTTCATATCAAAGACTAAAGTTAAAAAGTAGTGCATCTTTCATATTTAAGAACTCTCCTGCTTTGAATTTTATATTAAGTAATCTAGAAACAATTTTCACTACTTACTGCTTCATATTCCAGTTCTGATAAAAGTCTGAAATGCTCTTTCCCCAATAAGAGAAGCTTGCTCCTTCCTGTGATTGGACTTACTTCCAGGTGAGTAAAATAAAACACTACAAATAGCAATCCAAAACCACTCAAACCAAAGAATAATTTCCATTTATTCTTCCTTACACTTTCTTTAAATAGTTCTTTCTTGTTAGGAGGAAGTGCCTGCCACCATTTTCTTATGCCCCTAGAGCAAAAAGAAAAATTCAAAGTTCTGATAATCATTCCAGCACATATCACTAAAGCTCAAATGCATATGCTAGATTTTATGTCCTCAAATACCTGCATTTTTATGATGTTTATCTATATAGATGTCTTTTTCAATTTATAAAATTCTTAGCTAAATGATGAAAACGAAATCAACTATATAGAGCTACTGCTAAAAATTCTAATGCTTATTTGAATTTTCTTCTTCAGCTATTTTAAGGATAAGCACTAATTGAGAAGCTCTGTTACTAAAACTACCATGGCTTAACACTTATTGACTAACAAATGCAAAATACTCTTCTAATCATATATATGCCATCTCACTGAATCTTCATGATAACCCTGTTACAGAAGAGAAAACTGAGACAGCAAAGTGAAGTAACTAGTCTAAGGTCACAGAAGTAGTAACAGAAAAACCAGGCAATGAAGACAATGACTTTCCAGAATCTGACCACTGGACCACTTAACAGAGATAAATTGGCTAAATAAACATCTAAGGGGTTATAGTACAATAAATCTATACTTTTAACAACTATTCTTCACACTGCTTCTCAGACTTCCAGCACAATCTATCAGTGCTTCAACAAAGTACAAGGGAAACTACCTCAGCATTGATTTTGGAAATAAACAGTGCTCAGCAGCAGATATTCCACTATTCTCTTTAGAACATGAGAAAGGAGACGTAATAAGATCATAAGTACTGCAAATAAGAACATGGTATATTTTATAGATAGCATCTGAGGCGGTCCAGGCAACAATACTACTGCTTAACAGCGTTCTGAAACATTTTAATAACAAGCAATGTTTTCAACCCTGGAACAAAAATTTTCCCTTGTGAGTTCATCTGTAAAATCACAACAAAAAATTTAATATATCCATCATTCTCTTGACAAAAATTTACTTTACAAAATTTAATTTTTTAAATTTTTTTTAAGTGACGCACTTGATATGTCTTTAAACAAAGTGTTGAAACAACCTGAAGGGACATAAACTATGCAGTATACTTATTTCCTATTTAAAATGTTATGCAGCATTATTATTCGAAAACATATGCAAGACATATACTGAAAGAAAATTTACAAAATAAAAACAAGAAAGTTAAAAATAAATAACTGTAAAAAATGAGAACACATTAGTAATTAGAAAGAGCTATTATCCCAAGAAACTAGAATCAATTTATTATTTAAACTAAGAGCCAATCCAGCAGTATCTTTTTTGGGTGCCAACACCAAATCATGAAGGACACAATAAATTACACATAGAAATTCTCAATTTTTTATCAAAAGCAAATTGGGTTGGTTAGGATGGAAGTAAGAAGAGGGCTAGAAAGGATTTCTTATCCAAATTAAGAAAGCTTTATGAGGAGACAGTGATTAGCTTTCTTCACTCTCAATGAAACACAAAGGAGAAAAAAGAGTTAAAGAATGATTTAGTTGTGAAAAATATAATTATAAAGGATCTCCAAAAGAAAATAAAGGTTTGTTGGAAAGAGAAAAAAATAAATATTAATGGTTTAAGAGTTAACTAGGAATGAGCCCACTTCTCATAAGTTCCTCAATTTCATGATTTGCTGCCTCGAATCTTACAAACTAAAAAGGAATACAAGTACTGTTCTTACATAGGTGTTATAAGCAATACTTCCGATTCTTCTCATAATCACAGATGTAAGTTCTTTTTTAAAAAGTCTACACAGTATGTAAGAATAACAAAAGATCACATAAGACCACAAATTAATATGCAGTAAACTGCTTTAAGATTATTACATTATATGTAACTAAATTGGGTAGGACCTGCTGTTCAGAAACTTTTGAGTTAAATGGGCAAGATAAGAAGATCTAACAAGGTTTCATTAAAAGAGTAGTTTTAGAAATATGAAAGTTGATTTTTTTAAAGTTAGTACAAAATGTTAATGCAAAAGTGTGTTTTCTAAAACATAATTTACCTGCCTACAATGATTGCAAGGAGCTTCTGCACTGGTTTAAGAATAATCAGCAAGAGAGGAACTGGAGCAGCTTGAAACCGTGGAGAAGTGTGAAAATTCCTGATAGCTCTTATGGGAGAACGGCTTTGAAGACACGATACTGGAAGAGCAGGAACGGCTGTAACATCTTTTATTGGCAGCTGTCTTGAAAAAGAGCCATTCCATACAGTACATTTGCTGGTAATCACCCAAATTTCCTTGCTTTTGATACTTGAGAGGTATTCTGGTTTTTTATTATTAAAAGTCCTACAAAAATGCAAGTTTCCAGGTAGAAAAGTCAACCTATCGCAGTGATTTACCCCCAGTTCCTGATACTTATTTACTAGATGGTTATTCTGTACTTGATGACAGCCTGGGGTGGTTACTGTTGACATGTTGCATTTTCTCAAGCTGGCCAGTAAGTTACAGCGGAAGAAAACACAGTTTCTAGTAGCAGACTGTAGTCCACAGAGGAAGCTCATCTTTCTTTTGCTTGATTACCTGAAGAAATACAAAAAATAAACTAAATATCTGGGAAAATATTTATTTACCAAATGGGGGATAGTTATTAAATAGATATGTCAGTTGTTCTAACACATCTCAGACTCAATTACCTAAGACTTGACTCATCACCTATAGAGCAATGTCTTCTAGCAATACAAAACGGATAAGGGTAACATTACTTTTACTGTGCAACACGTACTTTAGGAACTTGAACTCGTTTTTTTATGTTTAGTTAGGGAGGAGCCTATTTTTACTGTGATGGCAAATTATTTGAGGAGTGAGAACTGGACTGGATAAAAGTAACAGTAAAACGTTATCAGTTTGCAGTAACTTGGGGGAAGCGGCACATAACAGAAGGTTAAACTCTAACTTATAAACTGCACTGGACTTCAGGCAATGAAGAACAGTGATGCCTGAGAGATAGAAAACAAAGATGAGCCCTAAGCTGCTGCAGCTTACTGCCTGGAGAACGCTTCCAGGCCACAATGCAGACAGGGTAAACCTAGGTGGAGCCCAAGGGATTCCCTAAATTGAAGAGACGAAGCTGGAAGTTCAAGTAGATTAAGATAGGTAGAGCTGACAAGAGAAGACAGAGCTGCACAGAGAAAAACTCCCAGGGAGTTGCAGAGGCCCTTCTCACATTCAGCTGAATCCTACCTGGGAAAATGTGCAAGAAAGACACCTAGGGCTGGAAAAGGACCCCCTGGAGGGAACGTTGCAAGCTTACACAGGCACCCAAGAAGACCGGAGGGAACAACGTCTGGGGCCCACATGCACTCGAGAAGACGCAAGGGAACAACGTATGGGGCCGCCACACACACGCACTCGAGAAGGCCAGAGGGAACAACATTTGGGACCCACACAATCACCGACAAGACCAGAGGGAGTCCAGGGTCACACACGGCAGGGTAAAGTGCATATTCCCACTTATCAAAGTAGAAAAACTTATTCTTGGGCATTAGGTCAAGTACTCTGAAGAGTTCTGCCTCAGTGTTAGAGGTAACTCAGTTCTAGACCAAAAGCTGCCCTGGCCTCAACTAACCAATATTAAAAGCAACACCCCCAAATTAAACAACTGCTAAGCCACACAGCACCCCAGAAAAAAATGCTCAAAACAGTTATTAGAATACAAAAATATCCAGCACTTAACAAGGTACAATTTACAACTAAAAACTACCAAGCACACAAAAAGGTTACATGATCCATAATTAGAAGAAATTCCAAAGGAAACTAACTCCTAAAGAAATAAATGACATTAAAAATGGATATTTAAATAGTTACTATAGCTATATTCTACATGTTTAAGAAGCTAAAGGAAAATGTGAGTACGTCACACAGAGATATGTAATACATTTCCTTAAAAGACCAACACTGAACTTTTAGATAAAAAACTACATCTGGACTAGGCATGGAGGTTCACACCTGTAGTAATCCCAGCACGCTGGGAGGTCGAGACAAGAAGATTCCTTGAGGTCAGGAGTTTGAGATCACCTAGAGCAATATAGTGAGACCCCCATCTCTATAAGAAAAAATAAAAAGAAAACTACAACATATGAAATGAAAAATATACTGGATGAGACTAAAAACAGATTAGAAACTGAAAATAAAGATTTGTGACCTTAAATGACATATCAATAGAAAACAGCCAAAATGAAATGCAAAGAAAAAAATACATTGAAAAAAAAGAAGTATGGAATAATTTCAAGTGGCCTAATATCCATCTAACTGGAGTCTCTGAAAGGGGCAGGGAAAGCAAGCAGAAAAAGAATATTTCAAATAATGGCCAAAATGTTAACTTCAGAATTACCAGTTTTAAGAAATAGCATTATCTATTTATCAAACTATTTGAAAATTACTCAAATTTATTTTCTGTAGTTTATACATTCTGCCCTGGCATTATTAATGCACGATGTTAATAAAGGGCATGTTAAGTACAAATTAACTCCAAATTAACCCTTTTTGAATTACCACCAATTTTAAATTAGCAGAGTCCAGGCTGACATATGCTAGTTTAACATTATTAACAAGATACTTTCTAGTTGTTGTTTTTTTGAACGAAGCTGAAGAGCAGTACAATAAGTCTAGAAATCATTTCAAAATTAGTATTCGAGTAGCTAGGTAAGTTCTTCATTGGCTAGGTGGCATGGGAGTTACAGATGCAGCAGAGGACATAGTCCTGCTCTCACGGAAGTTATAATCTAACTGAGAAGCCAAAAATGAACCTAAGTAAGACTATTAAGGGATAATAAAATACAGCTTTTTATTATATGCTATGTACTACATGAATTTTTCAAAAGGGTAGCCACGAGTAGCAGAATAGTTCAGGAAGTCAACAATTTTTTTTTTGAGCCAGTCTCACTCTGTTGCCCAGGTTAGAGTGCAGTGGCATGCTCACGACCACCACAGCGTCAACCCACTGGGCTCCGGCAATCCTTCCTCCTCAGCCTTTCAAGTAGCCGGAACTACAGGCGTGCGCTACCACACCTGGCTAATTTTTTATTTTTATCGTAGAGACAAGGTCTTGCCAAGCTGTCCGGGCTGGTCTTGAACCCGCAGACTCAAGCAATCCACTCGCCTCGGCCTCCCAAAGTGCTGAGATTACAGGCTGAGCCACCAGGCCCGGCCAACAATCTTTTTTTTTAAACGCCATTTAGGAAGATGCAGAAAGACCAAAAAAATTGGAAAGAATTGTTTTAAATGGGAAACTGTATTAAGGTTTAATGTAAAGTCTTCCTCTAGAAGTCAAAGTGCAAAAAACAACACCAACCCACTTTCTTTTCTTTACTTCAAATCTGATGATTTACTGCAGTGGAGAAGCTTCAGACACTTGCCCCCCACACCTCCTTTTCCATAAGTGCATTCAGCAGTTCAACTACAGTCACATCTGTCCCTAGCAACACCTCCCATTTGCCAGATTTTAGGTAAGACAGTATCCTGCACTGAAATATAGGACATGTATATGCTGGGCCTATTAGCAGGTGCTATGGCAAAACAAAGAAATGCAAACAAGAACTGCAAACAAAAAGTTTTGCAAAAAAACAAGTGGATCGACAGAAAAAGACAATGGAATATATGTATAAAAAGAAGATAACTGAGAGACCATGACACCAGAGGAAGACAGAGAAAATAAGACCTCCCTGGTTCCTAAGAGGCCACGGTAGTTCCTCCATTTAACTGAGCTTCCACTTAATCTCTAAAATAATTCCCTCTCTTCAGTTAGTTTCTGTATTTTGCAAATACATGATCTCTGACTAATGTTTACATGGTATTAAAATTACACATTTCTTTATATAAAAATAAATAACGATTTTAATACTATACACGATTATTGGAACTAGCTAGAGGTTCCTTCTATACTCTGCAAAGTCAAATTTATCGATTTTCAACATTTAATCAGTTCCAGAAAATACTGGACTATCACTACAGAGACTTTAGCATCCAAAAGATCTCAGCCCACATTAAATGAGTCATGTCAGTTCCATCTCGTTCATCTCACCATCCAGTCCTTCCTGGGCTCTGTGGCCTTAGGGTGCTGATTACTATACACCTTCTGATCTCTCTGCCTTACTTCACCACCTACCCCTCTCCCTGCAGTTTATCCCCCAAACTAGAGCTAAAGCCATCTTTCTTAAATACAAACCACACAACAGAAATCCTACCCCTACAATTTATGCAAAGTCCTATCTTGCTAAATACCATGTAGTCATTTAAAAGATGGAGATCTATGTAATGACAAAGGGATATACAAATTTTAGAAACAGTAACAATAAATGCTTCTTGCGAAAACACTATCTAGCAAGGGTAGCAAATTCAAATGTCTAAAGCAGCACTGCACCTCAGAACTTTCTGCAATGATGGAAATGTTCTGTATTTGTGCCGTCCAATGAGGTAGCCACTTGCAGCTACTGAGCACTTGAAATGTGGCTGGTGCATCCGAGGAACTGAATTTTTCATTAACTTAATTTTAACTAAAGTTAGACGGCCATATGTGACTAGTGGCTACCGTATTGCACAGCACAGATTTGCAAGGTCCAGGCAGGTGAGTATCGGCAAAGCCATACTGATGCGAATAGATTCATGTCCATCTAAAGGCATATACAAGCGTAGCAGAATTTGAATCTGGTGTGGCCAAGTGACTCAAAACTTTCAAGGAAAGCCAGAAATTCAGATTTTAGGCAACATTTATAAATTTTCAAATGTTGGCAACCACCTTTAAATAACATTTTTTAACCACCCTGACCATTCACAGACTTTTTTTTGACCTCTGAATGGAGTGACTCATTAAATATTTAATGAGTGTCTACTATATACCAGACATCATTCTGGGTGATAGGGATACTGCAGAGAACAAAACAGACAACCCTTCTCCCATCTGCAAAAATAATAATGACAAAATATGCTTGTATATACAAAAATAAATCTTAAGAAAGATACACCAAACGATTCATAATTATTCTGGGTGGCAGGTTGTTGGTTAGAAGGAATTATTAGTAGTATTTCCATCTTATATGTTTCTGTGCAGTTTAAGTTTTTACAGGATGTATTGCTTTTGTAAGCCCTCAAACAGGCAACTATTTCTGTAATTTCCATTGGTTTTTCATTGGCTTCGATCAACTGCTTCACATGGTAGGCCGGGCCCTCTCACAACATGTCCAGGCATCTTACCTCCATCATCTGTTCCTAAATTCTCGACCCCCTGATCTACTCACACCTCTCAGAGAAAGCTCTCATCTCGATGCACACTCCTTAGCTCTGCTCAGAAGACAAGCAAACGCCTACTCATCTCATGACTTGTGTAAAAATTTTAAAAAGAATCCTACTGACACAGACGGTTTAAGCAAACGCCACAAACACTACATGCATATAATTAAAAATCATTATCATTATCATTATCATAATCTTTAAATCACTGACAACCGAGTGTCATTTTGACTAGAAATAGTGACTGATATTTTTTGTAATCCCCTGTTTATCCTCAAGAGAGGGTAAGG